TATAAATATATTTATATATTTAAAGAGTTTTATCAGCTGGAATTATATATGAATTTGAAATGCATGCTGTGTATAATGAATGCAGAGATATCGAATATATACGATATTTACCATAGCAACATAAAGGTTTCTTTGATTATAAACAGTTAAATTTAAAAAAAAATACATATTATAATCATGCTGATTGGACGTTTGCACTTCCTAAATTGTAAGCACGCACCCGGAAACAGATTAATATATTTGTCGATATTGTAACTTCAGTTAAGAAGTAGGTCGCATTTACAATTATTTAAATGATCATGTGTAAAAATTTGCCACTGTACAGGTAAAAAAATGTATTATTAAAGTTGAATAAGGGGAGGAGGAAAGAGAAAAAAAATAATAAAAAAATGGTGGTGAATCGTTGAACCGGTTGTTTCTATCTTGTAGGCTCCAGAGGGCGCTATTTCGTAGTGTGTTTGGCGAGTGATGGAATGGCAAGAGCGGTGCAGGCTGTTAATCCCAAATCTTCCCGAGAGAGTGTGTATTTCCAATGGGAATATGGACTGCTGTTCTGCTAAACTTTGCTAGATTTATAGTCACATACAATGTTTAGATATTACTAACCAATAGTGTGAGAGTGATAGAGCAGGTAAGGTGTCAACGTTTGTCTGTGGTAACCAAGTTGGAGACGTGTCGTGCTCCCACATTTTCGTTCGTTACTAGTGCTTTTAAAAGAAATATGGAATTATCATGCACAGCAGCTTGGTTTACGTTATTTATCACCTTTAACCAATTAGGAATTTGGATGGCTAAAGTTACCGGTAAGTGTAAGAGTACTCCCTTTTACTCTTTCGTGTTAATGGTATGAACCTCAGTTTAACGCGTTTTTCTATGGGTCGGATGTTACATATTAATTAAAGGTTATGTTGGGGGTTACGTGTTTTCTCTATGGTGTTCGACCCGGTTGCACTATACTCTTTATCGAACCGATCGTTGGTATAGTCGATGCTGATTTGGACCCTTGGGATATATATGTATTCGCAAACGGGCAGGATTACTGACCCTACCAATTTTGTAGTGTGCGATAAACGTTCCAGAACAATGGACTTTAATGGTATAGAGAATAATGCTACCGGACTTCTTCATTAGTTTAATCAGCGGAAACAAGTTCATAAATTTTAGTTGTAAATAATTTATGTAAGTTAAGTAAAGTTAATGGAATACAAAACTATAAAATTATGGCAAGAGACTTTTAAATAAATATTATAATAATAACAATAATTAATATTATTATATTATGGTTATAAATTTTCTTTTATGGAAATTTTTTTCTAATAAATAATGATTAAATTTTCCAATTTTGTATTTCTTTTATGACTTTGTAATTTTCTTCGTCTTATCTTCTTCTAAAAAAACTCATCTTAATAAAGCGTTAAGATTGATCTTTGATGTTGTTTGGTTTTTCTTTGACCCCCCTTTTTTTAGGACTTTCAAATGTATTTATTCAAGGTTTTATTTGGTAGACATTTAAAGTGAATTTTCTAGTTTAACTTTTACTATTCAATTTACACTGAGAAATTGTTACTTAAATTCTAAAGATGTTCTTGTATTTTTTTTAGTAGTAAATTGAGCAGGGATAAATTTACTAAAAAACAAGAATTATCTGGAAATTTTGTCTCAAAATTCCTGTAAATTTTTCTAACGTAGAATATTTTAATATAGGAAAAAACACGGAAAGATTCTTATAATTTCATTTACAGCAGTGTTTATGCTACAGAAAAATATGTTAAGTTTCATGAAAAATTCATTTTTTTACACAATGTCCGTGAATATTTTCGCATTTATTCGTTCAAAAATAGTATACATACACACTTTAAACAATTTATATATGTTTATTTTAAAATATCGCTTGCTAAAACTCATATTTAAGTAAATAAATATAACAAAAAATTAAGCGTAATTATGAGTAGTAAATATCAATAAAAATATTAAATATAACAACTAATATATATTTATATAGAATAATAACATTGTAACTAAGTTCAGATAATTAAAAGTCAACGTAAACTAATTAGTAAAATAACGAAAGTCTGAGCTTAATTGGTTCTCTTTGTAACAACGAGACAGATTTAATTTATTTATAAAATATTAAATCTTTAAAACCTTTATAAAATAATAATAATAATAATTTTATTAAATCTTTATCGATTTTTTAAAAAGTTTATTTTATTTTTTACGCCCTTAAAACAAATGTTCTCGTTTAAAATAGTCAGATACTGGATATAATGCGCAGGACAAACACTTCTCTCTCCATTATAATAGCATAAGAATGCAACGTCAGAAGGCATCCAAGTTGAATGCCTTCAGGAATGGCCTTATCAGCAGGAAAGACTTTTGAGAGAAGGTCTATCGTAGTAAAGTATATTCCCACGTTACTATGACAGAATCAAGTTTTGGTGCATTGGTATTTTTATTTCATTTAAATTTCAAACTTTATAAAACTATATTTATAGATAGGGGTATGGAGAATATTTAATCGATGTAAATCGATATTTTAAAATGTTTTCCCTCTTTTTTTCCTGTGAATGGAGTGAGTCTTGTCGTATTTATTATAAACAGTTTTATAATGAAATTTTGTTTTTGTTTTAGTATTTTTAAAGGTATAAAGCATTATTCTAAATAAAGGTGTTGTTGTTGTTGTTGTTACTTTGTTAGCATTTTGTGTAAAAAGAAAGGAAATTTTAATGGAAAAGTGTTGTTGGATTTTTAAATTTTGTTATAGAAAGAAATAGCAAAAATAACAATACCCTTCGATTACAATATAAAAGAGCATTTTATTGACAAGTTGCTGTTGTTGTTTTAACTGTTTTGGCATTTAAAGAAAGCTAAAGAATGGTATTTTAATAGAAAGTAGTGATGTTAAAAGCTTAGTCGTAGATATAAAGTTATATTCTAACCCCCAATAAATGCACTTCCGCCATAGAAAAATGCCATGAAGTAGCGTTTATAGTGAAAAATTGTAACTGCTGTCAACATTTCTACCCTAGAAAAAGATATAATATGGCATTTTAATTAAAATATATCGTTATCGTGAGCATCCTTCCCATAGAATATCATTAATAAAAATTAATTTTTGCTACTATAGAAAACTATAAAATGACATTATAGCGAAATACGCAATGGTTAGCATCTGTAACATAGAAAAAAACCTATAGAATACATGTAATGGAACTGAATTGTTGCTGTAGGATTTTACCATAGAGTAAACGAAAAAACAATACTATAACAAAAAAAACTCAATTGTTAGCATTTCTTCCATAGAAACAAAGCTGTAGAAAAAGAATCATCACTTTATAAAAAGATAAACAGCATTTTAATGAAAAGATGTTATTTATAAGCATCTTTTACAACGAAAAAAAATTCTACAAAATAGCATTCTAATGAAACAGCTGTTGTTTTATTAACACCTTTACCATTAAAAAAATGGCGATCGTTCAATTTTTCAACATTCTCTTCAACATTTATTACAAAATTTATAAAAATGATGATGATGATAATTCTAAAACTTGTAATAAATGCCGTACTAGAGATAGATTGTGGGGGAGGAACCAGAATTTAACATCTTTAGATACAGCCACAGAACAGTTGTGGCTCTTTGTTCGTACAGTAATTAAATTAAAATATTATATTTTCCGTCCCCTGCAGCCCTCATTAGACGAAAAGGAGAGATAATAAAATGAAAAATTTTAAATTATGTACCGTTCAAAAATCTCTAATGATTTAACATATTTAGAAAAGATTATCGTAATTTAAAATGTATATACATAATTCCTCTTCCTAAAAATTATTTTTATTTAATTTAATCTAATGTAAATTTACAGTTAAAACTGGGTTTTCTAATGGGGGAATTTTTTTTTTTGTAAAACCTTAGAGAAATTAAGTTATTTTGATTGAAAAGTTTTCTTTGTGTAAAAAAAAATAAAAAAATGTAAATTTTCTTCTTAAAGTTTCATTAATTTTTTTGCTTAATATTTAATAAATTTTTAGGTAATTACATGTAAACAAACGGCTTGTTTTCTAAGTTTTAGAAAATAATGATGAATATTTATAAATTTGTTTTCTATAATAAATCATTGTCTTCTAGAAAAATATTTTTTTCTTTTTATCTTTTAAATTTAATCGAACGTCTTTGAAAATTGGAAATTTTCTCTAAATCTTCAAAGATTTAATATAAAAAATTTTACGATATTTGTTTTATAGAAATATCTGATATCTAAAGTTATTTTACTTTTTTTTTAAAAAAAGTTTGATCTTTTCATTTTTAATATTAAAAAAAATAGACAACATTCGCTTTTTAGAAAAGCGAATAATAATAATAATAATAGTAATAGTAATAGTAATAAATGTGCATAATTTTTAATAAATTTTATTTTTAAAAAATATTGTCTACGAATGACACAAACTTCATGAAATTACAATTGAAAATTTCATTTTTCCATTATTTAGAATTGAAAAATTGAAAAATAAAATTAATATTTTGCTTTATAATAAACACATTAAAGTATCATATTTAAGTAATATCTGCTTGTGATAAGAGAAGTTCTTTCATCCTTCTCTTCTCTCTCCTTTTCCTCTTCCACTCTTCTTTCTCCATCTTTTCCCCCTTTCATCTTCCACTCCTTCCTTCTCTCTATCTTCTTTCTGCTCGCCCTCTTTCGCATCTTCCTCTTATCCTCCTCCTCCTCCTCCTTTTCCTCTTCAACAAATTTTTTGTCAAATTTATAAATTTTTCTAGAATTTTGAAGGGAGTTTATAGTTCAAAATGAGAGTATTTCCGTTTTAAAAATGTGATAAATAAAATTCCTTCATTAAAGATAATCTTTCTATTTATTCCGAGAAACAATCATTAAGTTGCTCTAAACATTATAGTACGTTCGAATGAATAGTGTATAAAGGTAAGAACTTACAATAAAATAGTTTTGTAGCTTAACATTATAAGTTGAATGTTCGACAGTAAAAAATAAAAAACAATAATAAAAAAAGCAGAATTCAACTAAAAATACGTGAGTCATAAACAGTAAAATGACATTGACTAACAGCGATACTTTCTAACATCACAAAAGTGCAATAAAAAAGAAAAATATATTTCTCCAACGTTAACAGTTTATGAAAAATCTATAATATATTTTATAAAAATACAGTTTTAATTTCCATAAAAATTAGAAAAAGTAAGGTTTTTTTTAAAAAAAAGCTATATACGATTTTTTTATTTCTATTTTTTAAACTGAAATCCACCGAACATATAAAACGCATTATCAAATTATCTGTTATAAAAGTAACATAAATTATATCAAAAATTCTTAAAAGTAAGTTCTATGAAGTGTTTATAAATCCTATCTGTTAGATAATTCTGTCGTGGTTGAAAATGACTTAAATTATCGAATCAATAAATTACGATTGAGAGTAATTTCGATCCAAGCATGCAGCACTTTTTTTCCATCCTCTTCTCCATCTTCTCCTCCTCCTCCTCTTCCTCTTCCACTCCTTAAGAGAAAGTTCTTGTAACCGATTTTACTAAAAATTTTAAAATAAATCAGTTTAAAATTTGCATATTTCTTTACTAACTTTTCAGATAGTATTTAAAAAAATAAGGGAAAGGTTAATTTTTCTAAAATTAGTTTCAGCTTCATCTGATACAGTTTCTATCCATCCAGTTAAGATAGATCTATACTTGATTAGTTTATATAGAAAAATAACATATTAGTTCCTGAAAATGTCAGAGATTTATCAATGACAGATAAGAATTTTCGATAAAATTCAA